ACGTTAACAGCTTTTTCTGATGCATTAACATACCTACAACATATGAGCGATTAAGCTTTTTTTCCGATTCACAGATTGAGCATTTACCATTGTCTCAACACTCTGCCCTTCCCATTCTTGTTGGTATCAGATTATCATGAAAAATATTCTTCTCTGATTAATGACAGTTTGCAGTCACAACAGATTTTACATGCATTGCTTTTCTACATTTATGGCCTTATTGCAGTCAATTCTGGTAATCACTCCATATTTAATTTTGAATTGCAATTTCAGTTATGTTTGTCTTGATTAAGTTACAGTATATTTGAATTGCATTACATCTCATTTTCTGTGATGCTGCCAGATATTTAATTATTTGATGGTTCCTGAAGATATCATTTAAATGTAAGATCCTTTGAGCGTACATTATGCATCCCACAGCTGGCAATATACGCTATTATCTATTAAAAGTATGACATTGATGTGTTTCGTGTATTTGTTTTGCTGCACAGTGCCTTCATGTGCAAACTCATCTAGAGATTCAACATTTGATATTGATTTGACCTAGAAAAAAACCTAAATATTCACAAAATATTCTTCCATTTACTAACTTTTGCTAAGATCTACATCTATATTGTTAATTTTTATCCGGTAAGACTTTCAAAGTGTGCTTTGATACTTGGTTATTATTTAAATATATCACAATATGCTATGCTGTTTTTCAGTACATGAAATAATAACAGAATTTATATTGGGTCCACCTTGGAAAGAGCATAAACACAAAAGGTCTCTTAGATCACAAAGCTGAACACTGCAAGTTAAAAGATTCCTTATTTTCCCCTTAAAATGCGTACGTTTGCAATTTGTGAAAGACGAAGTAACTGCCAGTACAGCAGACATGTCAACTCATCTTTTATTCTGCCAGTCCATAATTCAAGGGATAAGCATGGTGAAGTACCAATTCTTTTTCTCCCAGAAGGTTAGATTATAACATAACAATGTATTCCACTTTATATTCTGCTGTGCTGAACTGGTAAACCACACCGTGGAAATTACCAGCAAGTCCAAATTACCCAGCTATTTTAATGCATCTCTACTGGTTTCAGAGAGCTACTGAGGTTTATCAGGAAAGAAAAATCCCATTATTGCCCATGTCCCATCATCAATGCATATTGCACAAAAAAGAGAGATTAGGGAAACAAAAAAATAGAAATAAAAAGTAAATTTAGTGTTGTATGAAAACTCTCCAGTCTGTTACTTATTGGAACTATACATTTTTCTTCTAACTTCAAGTACAATATGGATCAGAGGTCCATTCATTTTCTTGACTACTAGAAATGTACATTACCCAAGATAACTGTGAGGCTTGGTGCCAATATTTATGAGGCTGCTTAAATTCAGAGTAAAGAATAATTTACCATTTTTAATAAAACAGGCCAGTTTCTCTTACTCCTATTTTCACAGAACCTCTCTGACCTAGGACAAGCATGTAAGTATTTGTCTTAGTAACCTAATGCACGTTATTAAAACACTTTTTGATACACAGATGGACTTACATGTTATAGTACACGCCTATACGCACTCATTTACTCTTTTCCAGTTTGATACAAAGAAATAAGAAATTTACACAATTACTAAGGGAGGAACAAAATCCATCTCATTCTAACTAATCAAAAATCATCACAAAAAACCCAATACACGTCAAAATACACTTTACCACTGGTGCTCAGACATTTACCACTAGGAAGGTTGACTGTGCCCTGGAAAAGCAGGGAGGCACTTATGGAAAGCCTAGACAGCTCAATTAAATCTACAGCAATATCATGATTTTTCAGCAGCATTTCAGCTTTTTCTTTTATTATAGGAAGTACAGTTAGGCAAAAAATATTCAGTGTGCTTCCAAAAACAAGTCGTTCAAATGAACAGTTATCCACAGAAACATATTTTCTTTTTTAATTTTCCCTTGGGCTCTGCTTTTTTAACTCATGATTAGAAATTCTTAAATACAAAAGTTAAACATAGCCTGATTTAATTTCATATCTAGACTGATGCTTGAGATCTTGGGAAGCTGTCATAAGAAGCCAAAAAAATTCTGCAGCCAATTACTACTATAGATATGAAAAATTCAGATATTATTCATAAACTCTAGAGCTTGAAACCACAAAATCCCCAGCAAATTCTACAGTGTAGAAGGCAAGTAGTCATTGAATTCTCACTTCACTCACACCACTGTAAAATCTAAAAAATAATACAAAAACTTCCAAGATGTGGCTAGCCATATGGCTTGCCAGCTTTCTTTCTTCACTGATGAAATATGGGAAAGGTAAGGCTGCATTACATTTAAAGAATTAGAAAATATTTAAAGACTTAATTTTTTTTAATTATAGCTCAAATACAATTTGCTTTTCATTAAGCTAAACTTGAATTATGCTTTTAAAGTAAGAACTTAGAGCAACAGGAACTCTCACAATCACGACATACAACTCTTCATTTTCTTCATTAAAATATTGAATGAGTAACAACCTCACATTTTGGGGAATGGAAAAAATAAATAGTTTTTTCTGAGTTAAGAAACACTGAGATTTCTTTAGGATTAAGATCCGATTTTTTTCTCCCTATTAGCACTTGTTGGCTTGCCACATACTTCTACATAGTATAGCACAATTGCAGGGCAGAGGATCACTCTACGGTAGCATTACCAACAGCAGCATTCTGTATACAGTAGCACAGCTGGATGAAATATGATTTCTAAAACAGACTATGTTGCTAAAAATAGAAACTCATTTTCTTCTAGTAGCCAGAGCCAAGAGACAGATTTTTAATTTATTTTACTTTTTTAAATTTATCACACCCCTTAAGATCTCTTGTAGCTTATCTTGCTGTTTTTCTCTCTTGGTTGAGCTTTGAGAACCATCACATCAGCACCACTCTCAATTGTTAGTTTTTTTTTTTCCAAGGATGGCATGATGACAGTTCTACAAAAGCACTTTGAGACCAAGTGAAAACATAAAGGAAAGCAGGAAAGGAAAAAAGATAATTATATACAACTGGAATTCCTATTCCATCTGTGCTGTAGGCTGCATAGAAGCTGCTGAATCAGGCAGAAGATGTAGAGGGTACCAAGTGAAGTACTGTGTGCTGAGGATTTAACTTGTATCAGCCATTTATAAAATCTTTTCTACCTAAAGCTTCTTGAAATAAGACAGGCTGGAAAGTATATACAACATCAGAAAACGGCATCAGAATAGAGATTTTACTTTTTTATTGGTTTGTTGTTATTTTTTCCTCATCCAATTCCCATCTGGTCTCTGGGTCTGTATACGCATAAAAGGAATAAAGGGCAGGGATTTAATTTCTGAAGTGTCTGCTTCTAACCCAACTCTATTCAAATCATACATTCAAAAACTTGCCTCCTTGGGATTCATGCTTCTCCATACCACTATTTAAATTGGAAATCACTAATTCATTAGAGCACAGCATACACCCCACTGCAAGTCAAGTTCCAGGCTTGACCAGCACAGTCTGAAAAACAAAGGAAACTGTCCTGACCTCTTCCTAGTTACCTGAGCCAGGATAAAAACCTATGCCTTCAGCTTATCACCTCTTGGCTCTGCCATGGGTAACCCTCATCTTGCAGACCTGGAAAAGGGCACGTGTATGAAATCCTTGCAAATGGGTGCTCAGAATGGATGTAATTGTCCTACTGTACATGACCCCTGATCACCAAGTCATGGCATTTCCTCCATACAAAACAACTACTACAGGCCCAGGGTAAGCAACAACAGTATTTTCATTAACTTCTTTTTCTGACGATAAGTCCGTAGTTTATACCACTGCTAGATGAAATATTTCAGGCAGAAAGTCTTTTCAAAAGGTAACAACTCTGCTTTGATTTCATGACAATGGTACAGTCTTAAGAAGACACTGAAGTTGAAGTGAGCAAATCACATCAGACTGCTTTTATGCTCTGTATTTCTTCAAAAATTATAGTCTAGGCTGGTATTTGTGACAATGACAGAGGTAAGGCTTTCCCAAACATAAAAGAAAATCTTACCCCTGACCATTTTTTTCAATAATATCTATAATTTTCCTGCATTTCTGCCATAAAAGCGTGTGACAAAATGACCTGCCACTTGAAAAGGGGCTGGGGGAGGAAATAAGGAAGAGAAAACTAATAGTCCACACACAGTCATTCCAGTCATCTTTAAAGAGCTCCATCAGATACAAAGTGCATGGGCTTTTCCACTTCAAAAATTTGACTACCTTTAAAATCACTAAATTCCCAGAAAGATAGACACAAGAGAATAAATCAGACCAGAAGCCTTTTAGAATAATTTCTTTTCAGACTAAGGGTAAAACTGAAGGACTGCATAAACGGTATTTCACCTAAGCCACAACGTGACAGTCAAGAAATGATGTTCATTTTCTCTGTGGTAATACTTGATTGCCAAGGACAGAAAAGACCGCTTTCCCCAGGCTGAGCTGAGAAGTGCCCAGCTATCTAAGGTCATTACATCTGGCAACTTCAGCAGGCACAGAAAGGGACATTGCCCATTATGCATTCTGAGGTCACATTTGCTCTTTTCCGGGAGGTCTAGGGACTTTCTGGATTGTGAGGGGAATAATCTTTCGCAACAAAGACAGGGAACACCAAAATGAGTGTCCTTAGTGGTATGTAATGCTATTTGGCTGAGGTCAGCTAAACCCTGCTCTTTTCACAATAGAGGAAACCTATCAAAAAACATGCAAGTGTGATCCAAATGCACTATGTATGTCCTCTCCCCCAGGAGGTTTTGAAAGCCCATAGCTGGGGGTGGTCACTGCCGTTGGTGAGTAGTGTGAAGGTCAACATTAAAACAGACAGGCCAAGACTTATTATCGTGGTTAATGACAATATCTTAAAGATCCTTAAACTTCCTATTGCTATTGATAGTCTGTTACTGAGAGTTGTCTAAAAATAAACTTCTGTTAATTGATACGCAAAACTCAAAAAGCCCTTTTTATTTCTTCTCTAGGACTACACCCTGACCATGTACTTCCAGCAGTCCTGGAGGGATAAAAGGCTCTCTTATTCTGGAATACCTTTGAACCTAACTCTGGACAACAGAGTGGCTGACCAGCTCTGGGTGCCGGACACGTATTTCCAAAATGACAAGAAGTCATTCGTCCACGGGGTGACAGTGAAAAACCGAATGATTCGACTCCATCCAGACGGGACAGTCCTCTATGGCCTACGGTACGTTGTGGTTTTTAATTGGATGTATGGCTGTCCTGGCAGAATGCGAGATCGGTAAGTGCAGGTAGTACCAATGCTGTTCTCCTTCCCCTTCTCTTGGTTTCTCAGTGCAGCTGTACGAGCCAGCACATACTCCATCTAGACCACCACAATACAGCCAAGAATTTTCCACAAGGCTTCAAAACTACCCTAAATAACTAACAAAGAGTAATGCTTCTGTGTTTTTCAGCTCCCCTGAGCATATTAACATTACTGACGAGCTTTTATTGTGGTTCCCACCTGATAATCAATCATAGCTTAGATAAACCCTTCCTTCTGAAGTTTCTCCAGCAGTTCTTTAGGACAATGTAAAATATAAAGTTGGAGTCATCTAAAGAAATGCTACCAGCATCTGTGGTAGGGAAGAAAGAGAACATTTGTAGATTTACATGAATTATTTAAGGATTATCCATACATCTGACTACAGGTTTTCTTTAACCTGCTTTGGTTTATGAAACCAGTGGCCTCTTCATACCACAACTGCTTCTTCCTACAGTGTAACCTATATTCCCACCTGCAGATAAAAATATATTCTGAAATCTGCACAGGCACACTCTAATGATAAGGCACACAAGTGAAAAATTAAAACTAAACCAGGTTATTTGTTATGTTGAGATTGCTGGAGAGCCTGAATAGGCTTAGCATTATTTTTGAAGTTAAGGTAGCTTTGCTTGGAAAGAAACCATTGCCTGCTTGAAATAACTTTTGATTGCTGTTATCATTCAACAGTGAAAATAGTGTCCAGAGAACATAAACGTGAAAGTAGACTTCAGTTAATCAGAAAAAAAGTCATAAAGCATAAAACCTAGCTGAAATACCTCAAAATTGTACTTAAGATCAGATTGAAAAAAGACAAACTGCTGCAGCAATTCAAAATGAAAATAATATTTGGGGAAATGACATCTTATCCTATAAAAACTTAACCTTTTGAAACACAACACTACCCATGCACTCAGAGGCAGCCTTCCAACCCATCAATTCCAGCTTCACAAGAAACAAAAAAGATCATTTAAAAATTATTACTTTGGTTCATCATAAGTTTTCTTTTGACCTTGTCAGATTTGCAGGTGGTACATCAGTTGCTACTAATGACCTCACAGGCACTTTGATACATCCAGATCTGTTCTGGTACAAACTGCTGCTGCAGTTTGGAAAAAGAAAACAAGGAACCCATGAGGAAATAGCTGATAGACTGCAGGCTGTCATCATCGTCTGCTAAACAGCATTTGAAAAATACATCTCTCGCATTGCATTCAGACCTCCTACAGTTCCTTTACAATCAAACTGGCTCCTGAAAACTGCAGAGCAGCTATCGTTAGAGAACTTTTTGGCCTGAGAACTTTTCAAAATTTTTTTTTTTTTTTTTTTTTTTTTTAACCTTTTAAGGTCAGGAACTACATTATTTTACATTCCAGGAGCTTCACAGTGGCAACAATGTCCACTAGAGTGAAGCAGTCCCTCCCAAGCAGTTGTACACAATACAAACTACACGTAGAAATCTATGCCGTGCACGTAGTTCTATACACTTGCTATAGATCTGGCATCAGTAACTGTCTTCTGCAGAAATAGCAAAAGAAGCTGTGACATCTGGTCAACCTGCTGCAAGTCCTCTCACGTGCTTCGTCCACAAAGCACCAGCCTGGCCAAGAAGCTGTGACCTTGCCCAAGCACAATGCCTGTGCTCTTCCCCTCAGAGGTGCTCGGGCAAACCTCCAGCACAACAGCAGAGATGGTCACCTTCACATAACGAGGTTGCTAGTTGATATATTAGGATATATTAGCTATATACCACACATTGGGCGACTTCCTTCTCCTCCCTCACCCCTGACTCGTTCATGCCCTTAATGCACACTGGCACAAGGGAAGCTGGGGCTGTCCCGGATTTTTGGGCTTCCCCACCTTCTCACAGCAGAGAAGGCAGGAGGGTCTCAGGGTGCAGCAGGGCCAGGTGTTGCCAGATGTGCCCATATCCACCACCACCATCGCCTGCACCAACCACGTGCAGAAAGAGATGCTCGGCTGTCAGGTCTTTTTCACAGCTCAAGCTGATGTGCCGTGTTTCCTCCGAGGACAAGGCAGCTACTTAGGCATATGTGGTGAGCAGACTTGGGTCTGCCAGCTGCCAGTGAAAACACGTGTAACGTCCCCATCCCACAAGAAAGATCTGATCCAAGACAAAGAAAACAAATGAGCAGAAGAAAGAACGAAGCTAAGAGACACCAAAACAGGTTTCATACAACAGATGGCAATTACTGCACTGTTTGCATCTATTAGCGGTCAGTTTTCTCATGGTAATAAATGTGCTTCTGTCAGCCTATAGATTACCTTCAGATCATACAAGCAGCAATTTCTTCACGTAGCAGATGACAGATACGCCTCATAAGAAATTAAACAGGAGAAAATGCCACAGAAGATGTTCTTAGGTAGAATTCAAAGCTGCCTGTTAGAAAATTGAGCAGTGCTACAATCTTAGTCTCACAGATAGAGAAGAAACTTTACAACACATTATCCTGCATTTAGTTTCTACACTATAGAGTGCATGGAGACAATACCACCAAACCTCTCACAGAGGAGCTGTGACCTGTGAGTTTCGCTTTCATTACAGAAGATGGAGCATTGGCCTGGCACGACTTGAACAAGACAGACAACACCAATTACACAGCAGACCAGGGTCTGAGTTCCCAGAAAATTAGGCAGGGCATTAAACCATCTCTCAAGGATGATTAAAAGGCCTGCTTTTCCCCATGCCTCCTATTCCCCACACAAATTTCCTGTTTTCAGTCCAGAGTTAAATGTTTCTTGCAGGCTCAGATATGAAATTTTACTGGCTTCTTTAAACAGGAATTGGAACAATCACAAAAGCTCTAAATAACCTGCTTCGCTTGCATCCATGTACTTGGCAGTTTGGCATTGATGCAATGTTCAGTCTCAACAGAGTTGAGGAAAAATAAAACAAGGTTAATTGTCTGGCTTTACAGATGAATAAACAAGGGAAATATGCACTGAATGCTCTGCTCTGGTTTTAGATCATATAGCAAAGGATTATCATTTCAGTATGTCTCCATTATAGTGTTATTTCTATGATGAAACAGAGTCCCTTTAGCTATTTTGTCCAGTAACTTTTAGCTGCTGTATCCCCACAGTTCAAAGAATGTTGTGTGCATATAAACTTGTACAGACACAGAATACTCCTAAACCTTCTGCCCTCTAAAATCGTGCATTATGTCTTTTATTGGAAATGCTACTTCTGCTAATTATTCACAGCAGTGAGTAATGCATGCCACTACTAACCAAATAACTCTTTCATCCTATTGCCCAAGCAAGTAAGCACACACAAACGTATTTAACTCCACGTTAATATTGCCACTAAATTCCACTTCAAATACACCAGGGATGTTGAGTGTCACTGTTAAGTATGATGTACCTGCAGCGCATGATTTTTCAGTTTCTATCACGTACTCCCACCAGAGGCTATTATTATTTTCTGTGATGTAGCCACCTGCTTCCTAAGAGAAATTAAAAAGATCCCGTTGAGTCAATATGCAAACCTGCAGCACTGTGAGGCTCCTGTCTGAAACAGCTCCAGCCTGGTCCCAGTACAGCTGGTAAAATACTGGATTCTTCTTAATTTTTTTTCCCCATTTTTATAAGTCATCAGATCCATTAGCTATAATCTTTTTGGCACTAGCAGAGTCTCTTATTACTTTTATTGCCTTTTCAAGTAAAATGCTCTAGAAATCTCTCCCAAAGCTCTAGATCATCAAACCACTATGTGCTGGTGTTTCTTTTGCCTGTCCTTTCTCCCTGTTTCCTGGGTAAGATGTTAGAGATGTAATCCATCTTTAAGATATTTAAGGAAACATAAGTAATTTATTGTTCTGAATTCTACATTCAGATTCTTATCTCACAATGTCAAGGATGGAAGCTCCGATTTAAACCATCCTTTCCTAGTATTTTTTTGCCACTTCTTAATTCTCAGCATTTCACTAACAAAACAATGACACCTTATTGCTTCCAAGACATCTGTTCTCTTATCATGGCATTGCCTCAAAATAAGCATCAGCAGAATTTAATCTGGTGTAGTGAAAGAAGCACATCCTTCAGAAGTGTTGATGGTCAAGAAATGCAACATACCTTCAGTGATACCTTTACACAGATTTCCCTCCCTTCTGATGTTCAGACACAAACCAGCCTTTCATTAGAGCAGGTCTTGATTTATTTCAAGGAAGGGGAGTGAGAGCATTGCCACAAGCATCTGAAGGTCTGGCTTGGAGCACCAACAACCTTCAGTTTTAGTGGGACCACCCGTTTTTATACTGCTGCAGCAGAGGTAGCTGCTTTGCTTGGGCACTGCTGGCACTGCAGGGGGGCAGGGCAGAAGGATGATCTTTGCCTTCAACATAAGGACTTATTTCACCACTTCTTACACAAATAAATTCCTCTGTGGTGTAAACACTATCAGACATACCCATCTACCTCCAGCCAATTCACAAGCGTGAACTAATCCATATAACATTGGATTTACCAACAACTTATTCATGCAATATCCATGGAGGCCCATCTAGAATATCCTGAAGGTAGTATACAATAAAAGATCCATCTAAATGCAGAATGCTTTGCTTTTAAATATAATCTTAAAAGCAAACTGGAGTGTAAACTTCCCTTCTTGACCTTCTCTATTTTGCTGACATATCTGAGAGTGTTACTAAAGAAACTTGCTAGCCAGGAGCTTTCATCTTGTAGTTCAGTGAAATTTCACTGCTTTTTTGGATTGATGTTGTATTGCCATCATTGGGGACTATGGAGTTCTGTTTTTTCTCCACACATCTTCATGGATTTTATTAGAGAGTCAGTTATTGGATCCTTTTGAGAACATCCCATCATAGCAACAAGCAGCCTACTTACACTGGTACTCAACAGGCTGTCCTCACCTGTGTTACTGAACAGCTCCAGCCAAAAGA